CGTATGTGAGTATCGAAAGACACGTGTATAGCTTTGCATATATTGAAAACATAATTTTGTTACTCACGCTGGGTTCCTTCTCGTCCACTATCGAGTATGCGGCAATAATTATGGTACTGTTGGGCGATTTTATATCCTTATACTGATACGTATTGTTGAGTCCGTTTGCAATTTGTGGCATGTAGCCGAATTTCAGTCTATCGACCCACGATCCCATATGCTCCGCGTCCCATATCCCTAGAAAGATGGAAGTACACATAAAAAACCTTGGTTTTTGGAATACATTTTATACCCGTCATGCTTTTGGCAATGAGGCACGTTCTCGAAAGCCTTCATTCGCACAGAAATTAAAATTGTGCCTTTGAAGTGCGTGACACTTTCTTGACGTTCTGAAATCATGATGCTTTGCAGGTAATATAACTATAGCCTGATGAAGAACGTTGTATATACTGATGCAAAACAAGCGATTTTCTTTCCAACTAAGATTCGGCTCCGTTCCCCATTCAGGTGTGATGATGCGGATCGATGAAAACACCTGCCAAATAGGCCAAATTCCTAGACTTATCAGCAATACACACACACATACACAAATACAAGCAAACAATAAGTGGGTGTGCCATCCTTATACCTGAAGTCGAAAACTTTGCCCAAGCTGATAAAACCCAGGCGCCCCTATTCGCCGCTGCGATATGACTCAATTTTCCAACTGAGTTGTGGTGACCAGCGTCGACAAAACTATTGTCCCATAGATCACATACAAGGATTGGTCAATAACAGATACACATTCACAAACACAGACAAACAATAAATAAGTGCGCAAAACCTTACCCCGGTAGTCGAATACTTTGCTTTCGCTGATGATAACCAGGCGCCTCTCTTCGCCGCTGCGATAGGACTCCCTATCTACCTGAGTTGTGATGCCCAGCATCGCCAAGATCTCCTGTCCCAGCGGACTCGGCCGTTCGGGTATGGTAAAGTACGTGAATACAGACTGCATCTTTCTAGCTTCGGCGACCTTGGCATATACCTGTGTATGCAGATTTTAACGCTAATACATTACTAAAAGGGGGTTCATTTCGTGGTAGACAACGTATGTGATGTTTTCCATCCGAGATGTCACAGATGTAAACGATCGGATTTGCTTTTCTCCTCCATCCGCAGAGTTATGCGAGTAATCTATCAAATTCCAGCATGTCCCATAGCCGTTCTGCTAAGCTTCAATATTTCGCGATTTCCGCGGAGTTTCGGTTTAACACACTTGCGCCCGAAAGTAGGAGGTAGGTGAACATTGAGTACATTTTTTTTGAGTTTCAGGACCAGCCGTAAGCCTGAAGTTTGCGACGCAGAATGACATGACAATTCATAGAAGAATATTATATGAAGATGTACGACGATTGCTGGGTATCTAAACGTGGCGACGCAATGGTAATTAGCAAACATATCTGAAAATACATTGTTTGATATTCATGGTTTGGTCTTACGTACGCATGAAGAGTATTGCACACCCGCTGAACTTAGGCTTTAAAGTACATAGCCGAAGCAAGCAAATAGACTGTGAAGACCCCCTCGATTGAATACAGCATACAACACATTCAGATACTTTTATACATTTGTCATACATCATACTTAGATCTTTGAATACCTTTTTTTCGCCGGCTCGTCCCCCAAGTAGCAGAAAGACCGGCTTTCCTTCACCTTTGTAATTCGACTGCTCTGCATAAGCCTTAATAGCAGGCTGACTGAGAAGCTCTCCATATTCCACGAACGCAGGCACAGTGCGTGCGCCTCGGTAGTCCAGCACGCCAATATCCCCTATGGCCTATATGATCATATGGGAAATAATGAAACAGTCGAATGATTACAATCGTGTCATATTCTCTCGCCAATTAACGTACAATAACAAGAACAAAATCACTATTTACGTAATAGATACTTGTTTATACGCACAGCTCTTACCTGCCACCGCAAACACAACGCTTGGATATCTCGTCTTGGAAGGTCACTATTGGAACCACAGAGAAGCTTACAAATAGTCTAGACTACTTTAAGACGATTGAAGTAGCCCACGCTATCGTACTCAAACAGTGATCATATCACAATATTCGTCGTAAGCATCAGATGTTGGCTCACGGTGTCAACTAGGTTTAGCTTTAAGTCATATTAAATGGGAACATAACCAATCGTATTGTGCGCTATCAGCGTTTGCCAACCAAGTAAATTCTATTACTAAATTACGCAACAGTTCCCACCGCTCGGACAAAGTGTCTGATAGTCATCCGACCTAACGCGGGTAATGCCTACTCTAAATAATTGTCATGGCAACACCCACGAGTCTAGATTATTCAACCGACACTTCTTGATTGCACACAGCCTTCGAGTGTTCTGAAACCGGTACTAGCTGGGCTAGGCAAGACTTGCAGCTTTCTTTGGCTATTCTGAGGCATACTCTGAACAACCTTGCCACCACCCATCACCAAAACATAGCGCTAGATGTCAACTCATCTCAAGGCGAGCACCGTGTATGATCTCGGAAAACAAACCTAAAATTTTGCGGTTTCCACATTATACCACGACTAGAGCGGAACTCGCACCAACATTCTTCACCGACTTTACTCAGAGACTACGTATATCTTCTTCACAAAGCTATATAAACATACATATATATAAATTTATATATACAACGAACACACCTTAATTGTCGGATATCCGCTCACCCCAAAGCGAGTGCCCAGTGCAGGTTGCGAGGTACAATCCACTTTCCCTAAAGACACCCTCCCTGACAATAATCGGGCGGCCGCCTTGAATGTCGGCTCTAACTTTTTGCAGTGTCCACACCATGGTGCGTAAAACTCAATCAGCCATGTACCTCTACTTGTCTTCTTGTCAAAGTTGTCCTCAGTCAGTACGTCTACTTCTCCGTTGGAAAGATCGGCCCGTGCAACGCCTGCGATAAGTTGAAGATGAAAATACATTTGGTTTATACATTTATTTTCTAAATAAGAACAGATCATGTTGTCAATGAAGAATCCGGGAATATTATATGAAAAATCGTTCTGACCAGAGCAATGGTTTATATATATATATATATATATATATTATACGTATATGTATATATTAACATATTTATAAAAAAGTATAAATATATATATACAAATATATAAAAACAAATATATATTTATATATGTATGTACATATATGTAAATATAAATATATATATATATAGATATAGGTGTGTGTATGTATATCTATATATATATGCATATATATATATATATATATATATAAAATATAAAACACATAAAA